AAACCTGTGCCAGTGTCTCGCCACCCTCACAGGGAAGAATTTTTTCCCAATATCCAATCTAAACCTGTCCTATGGCAAGTGTGAAGCCATTCCCCCTTATCCTGTCATTCCAGACCCTTGTCCAAAGTCCCTCTCCATGTCTCTTGGAGACCCTTTAGGCACTGGAAAGTGCTCTAAGGTCTCCCAGAATCTTCTCTTCTCTGGGTTGAACAGCCCCCACTCTCTCAGGAGAGTCGCTACAGCCCTCTGATCATAAATTCCTTCACATCCAGGTTTTCCCCGTCTGAGGAGCAATCCCAGATCACAAGAAACCCTCTGCCCATGTGGTGCATGGCAGACACCTCCCACAGCCAGACAGCGACGTTCGCATCCAACCACGGAAAGCTCCCCTCTGTTTGCAATGCTCTGCCCTGCCAAACACAAAGTGGGAGAACACCTTCCTACTTCTTCAGGGAAGACCAGGGAATCTGTGCAGATCCTCAGTTACTTGGAGGCAGCATTTCTCAACAAAGACAACCAAGGGAGTTCAGAGCAGCAACTCTTCCAGTGCCAAGAAGATCAGGATGGTGGCCCAGCAAATCAGCAATCCCAACACACCACATTAAGCTTTTGCCCAGGGCTGTCACTTTGAGAAGAGTTTGCTACAAACCCGACACAGTGATTATCTTTTTCCCTCGCAGGAATGCAGGGACTGAGAGGCAGGGAAAAAGTAGCAGGATGGACACCACAGGCTCTGTGGAGGCGAAGCCAGCACTGCTCACTGAGCAGGGACCACCACACCAGGGAAATCTGGCCAGAAACCACCCCAGTGCTGAAATGCTGGCCAAGAAACTGGTTTGAGGAAACAGGAAATGCTAACAGCCTGGAGACATTGCCCAGTGCTCTGAGATGGGGGGTGCACTGATGCCAAACCTCAGGACATCCAGCCAAAGGCAGGTGTGGGTGGTTATCAGATTAACCCACCACCCAGGGAGAAGGTTTTTTGGATCACCACACTGTGCACATCACATGCTGACAGCTGGGAATGCTGCACAAGGATGTTGTAGAATGGATCCTTTTTCTCTCCATACACACTCGATGGCATCCCACAGAGCAGTGTCACAAGGAATCACATGAGGAATGAGGATATGGAGCAGCCTGTTGGGAGAGGAGCAATGGAAAGCCAAGTCCACCAGTGAGTCCACAGAAGAATGACAGGATTGTTTAGCCCGGAAAAGAACTTTAGGATCTTTTAGTCCAACCACTAACCCAGTGCCACCAAGGCCACCACTGACCATGTCCCCAACTGCCACATCCACACATTTTTTAAGTTCTTACAGGGATGGTGAATCCACCATTTCCCTGGGCAGCCTCTTCCAATGCTTGATATCACTTTCAGTGCAGATTTTTTTCCTGATATCCAACCCAAACCTCTCCTGGCACCACTTGAGGCCATTTCTTCTCGTCCCTTCATCAGCTTTGAGCCTTTGAATGTGCCCTTGGAAAAACAACACCCCCAATTCCTTCACACCCCTAAAGACAAAATCAGCACACGATGAAACAGTACATGAAAAGCAGCATTTGTGAAGTTCACCAGCAACACCTGAAAAGATCAGGATAGGGATAATGAGAAAATGCAACAAGATCTAGCAAGGACCTGGGCACAATAAGGGCATCAACCCATACATGTTAAATCTCCACTTGGTTTAACTAAGAAAGGTATATTTTACATGCAGTTTCGTGCACATGTATGTATTTTTAAGCACTGATACAAAAAGCTGATTTTTCCAATCACCTCTACATGAAAGCACAAGTGGCCAGTCAGAAAAAAGAAGAAAGAATACCACTTGGTCACACGGGAGAAGTTTGAGCAGTGAAGCTGATGCTCAGTGCTCCCACCTGGACACAAATCCAGGCAGAAGCTTAGCCCCAGTCAACCTCTCACTTGCGTAACCTGAATGGCTGAAGAATGGGTCAGGCCAGTTGAACAACGTCCCCAGGGAGGACCTGCTGGTCTACTCAGCATGGAATGGCCTCTCCAGACCTCAGTAGCCTCCAGCAAACACTTGGTCATGTGGATGAAGCGGGTTGGGGCCAGGGAGCACATTGTGCTTGAGCCCTGCACACCCCTTCCAGCAAAAGTGCCTTCACTGGCACAGAGAATCAGGGAGCTAAAAACTCCACCGCCTGGACTTTCAGGGTCTCAGCAGGTGAAAAAGAGCAAATCTGAGCAGGAAGAGATAAGGTCTCTCTGCTGCAAGAGATGTCCTTCTGTAGCTTTGCTCTCAAAGCACCCCATGTGGCTACCAAACAGCAGGGTTTTCAAGAGCATCAAGAAGAGCATCTCACACCCAACCTGAAGCTGGGGTGACTCTCCCCAAACAGTTCCCACCTACTTTCCTCATCCTCACCTTGCAGCACATTGACAGGCAGAGCACCAGACCCAGGGTACACGTGGAGTGGGGAGAGGAAGATCAGCAAGTGTCCAAGAGCACAAAGACAACACAGGAACAGTTGTGAGCTGGGACAGGTCAACACACTGACGGGGACCAAGATGTTGTCAGCACAGCCAAGGACCATGAGGACAGCTGGGTAGAGATATCTTGGCCCCAGCTTGGCTGACACCATCAATGCATCTCTTGAAGGGCGACGGGACTTCCACATTCATCACACCTGGTGTCCTTCATTATTCACATCACCAACAATGCCCTGCACCAGGCTCGTGACTCCAGGCCCAGCAAAAGCAAGATGGGTCACAGATACAGAGATGCCACAACTGTTATTTCCACCCTCACTGCTGGAACAATCTTCACCATCACATGGTTGCCTACAGCTTTCCAACCCATTGGTCTTGGCTGCTCCCAGAGGCCACACTCATAGAATAATCACAGAATCCTTTAGTTTGGATACGACCTCCAAGATCATTGAGCCGACCCTTTGACTGATCATTACCTTGTCAATGAGACCAGGACACTACGTGACATGTCCAGTCGCTTCTTGAACACCTCCAGGGATGGTGACTCCACCACCTCCCTGGGCACCCCTTTCCAATGCTTAACAACACTTTCCATGAAGAAATTCTTTCTGATGTCCAAACTGAACCTTTCCTGATGCAGCTTGAGACCATTTCCTCTTGTCCTGCCATTTGCTACCTAGGAGAAGAGACTGACCCCCACTTGGCTACGACCTCCTTTCAGGTGGTTGTAGAGAGCAATAATGTCCCTCCTGAGCCTCCTTTTCTCCAGGCTGAGGCCCCTCCCCCCCCCCAGTTCCCTCAGCTGCTCCTCATCAGATTTGTTCTCCAGACCCTTTCTCAGCTCCACTGCCCTTCTCTGGACATGCTCCAGCACCTCAATGTGTTTGTTGTCATGAGAGGTCCAGAACTGGACACAGGATTTGTGATGCAGCCTCACCAGTGAGGAGTACAGAGGGAGAATCACTTCCCTGGTCCTGCTGGCCATGCTATTTTTGATACAATCCAGGATGTCACTGGCCTTCTTGGCCTTCTTCCCATGTAGCCAGTCCTTTGTGCCACACAGAAGAAAGTGCACACCAAAGTAAGAGATGGAAAGGGAAAGCTGTAAAGCTGAGAAAAGATGCCTTCAGCAAGGTTTGTTTTAAGGCACAAGTAGCTCATACTGAAAGGCAAATCCTCTGGTTTTCAGTCCAGACCCCTGTAGGAGGACGATTTATGTTGTCTCTCAAGCCAAATGTGGTACTGGGGGACTATTCAGGACAGCAGTAACACTTGCAGTTACTGCTGCAAGGAGATCCAGGGGCAATGAGCACCAGAATTTAGGGAAACATCACCCGTATCAAAAGGGACACTTGTCACACTGATTCAGCACCAGTGCCGCCACAGGGAAATGAGAATTACACAAAGCACTGCTCTCTCCCCAAATACGAGCCTTGCAGGTGAGGAATCAGAGCTGCTGCCTCAAGAAACACCAGGGAAGAGTCCTGTAACTCTGCAGTAGCTCCCTACACCTCCAAGGGGAGCTAAAACAGTCGGGAGGGAAAGAATAGTCCCAGAAAAAGCCAGTGGAGCTTGGCTTTGGCTCTTTTGCCACTCCTGAATGTGGTGCTGGACCAAAAATCAATATCCTTGGGAGTGGACCAGTGAACATCCAAGGGACACAAGCATATCCCACCAGTGTGGCATAAGACCAGCCCCCCTCCCTGCCTGTCACACTGCACAGGAGACCAGCAAGGCTTTACCACCCTGGCAGGAGCTTCCAAGATAAGGAACGTGAAGTTAAACCTGAAGACCCACAGAACAACATGGTTTTCAGTAATTTCAGGGAATAGGGGACAGACTTTTTAGCAAGGCCTGCAGTAACAGGACAAGAGGTAATGGTTTTGAACTGAAAGAGGGAAGAGGTTCAGACCACAGAGAAGGAAGAAATCTTTTGTGATGAATGTGGCAAAACACTGGCACAGATTGCCCAGGAAGGTGGTAAATGCCCCATCTCTGGAAACATTCAAGGCCAGGTTGGATGACTCTCTGAGCCACCTGATCCAGTGGAAGGTATCCCTGCCCATGGCAAGATAGTTGGACTTGATGACCTTCAAAGGTCCCTTCCAACCCAGACTCTTCTATGACTCCAATTCTGCATGAGATCTTTAAACACCCATGTGTTGGCCATTTCCTGCATTTAATTTTTTTCTGTACATAACAAATTCTAGAAATCAAAGACATGAAATCATCAAAGGACCAGCACAATGAGAAGGCAGGAAGAACACAAAAATATGGCCAAAGCTCTGAGACAGCTCTTGGAGAAGGTTGTTCTCCATGTGAGAGAAGATAACAACACCCTGGGACTCCCTCCCCAGCCTCACCATCAGAATTTCATAAACCAGCTCTCACTTTTCATAACTTAGTCCAAAAGCGAGGGAAATCCTATAAATGAAATCCAGGGAAAAAAAAAAAAAAAACATTTCTCAAGGGCAAAATTTTATTTTCATCTGCCTGAGCCTCATCATTCCATGTGCAGGGGACCCTGTCCTGAAGAGATGCTCTTACCAACTGCTTCCTTCGTCCTGCTCCCCCGGTCTTAGACCTTCTTTTAATCTGGAAGGAAAAGCAAAACAACTGACTAGTGCTGGGAATAAAACTATTTCACTGACAAGGTTAAGGACATGGACACCATCAGCACCACGAGCTCTGGTGTCCAGACACAACCTGCAGCCTCTGAGCTGGGCTGTCAGAACAGGTACAAAAGCAAGTGTTGGTTCCTCAAAACATCACTGCTGAGTATGGGAACAGCATCTTCTTTTTAAAAGAAATTAGAAATAAACATCTAAAATTGCTAAGAGTTTTTAATATTTCCAGATTAGCAGAGGTGCAAAAGTAGGAGGGTTATAATTGGCTGCAAGATGCCTGAAAAAATAACAAATAATGAATTAAAACCTTCAATGGAAAAGGGGAATCCCTTGCTTAATTGTCCAGCCTTCTTTAAGATCCCAAACCTGCCATGGGAGGAACACTCTGGCCTCAATCCAGTTAAGCATTTCAGTGTCTGTTAAATTTGAGAGAAGAGAGAGCCCTGCTGAATCAAGGTCTTGGCTGGTTGTTTCTCTCTCATTCTGGCCATCAAACACACACACACATCCCTACCTTCCAAGAACTTCCAAATTTAGCTTTTATTCCAGGAACAGCACCTCTTGGCTATAAAAGCACCCAATTCTGCAAGGAAAAAGCAACAGTGGGAGGTAGGTCCTGCACTAGATGAGCATCAGGCAGCTCTCAAGAGCTTGCTTTGTTCAATTAACACCAGAGGAAGCCCTTCACACACTGTATTTAGTGCTGAATATCACACTGCTCTGTGCTGAATATTTTTAAAATCCTATTGCATTAATAAACATTTCCTATATAAACACTACATACTAACTCCATTCTCCATACAGAAAAATCAGTAAAAAAAACAAGATGCAATTTCCTCAGGTAGAAAAATTCAGAGATAAAATTGCGGCAATGATTTATTATCTGCCCATAGCAGCAATCCCAGCCTTGAGTGACCTCTCTGCAAACACACCAAGGCAATTACACGCAGTGGCAGCCGAATTTCCCCTCCTGGAGAAGCAGCTTCTTGGTGCTGGGTGTGAGAAACATCAAAAGGTACAACGAAAAATATTTGTGTAACTGAGCAGGCTGGGGACAACCAGCCTAGAGGTTTAATCAGGATTTGGATCAAATTGTGTGAGGGGTTTTGTAAGCATCGATTTTATTGAGTTGTTACAGCTGGAGGATGTAATTCCCAACGACCCGCCGATTTAACCTATGGAAATCACCATCGTCCAACTCAGCTCAGTCCTCCCACTCCATCCCCTCTTGTTTGCCATAGTGTTCATTAGCAGATGAGTGGTAAATCCACCTCATCCTTCAGCATCCTACACTTGGAACATGCCCAGCAGCCCTCTCATGTCCTCTTGGTAAGGTAACCCTAACCCTCTCCTCCAGGAAAATAAATTTAGGAAGAGTATGATGAAGAGTGTGTAAGAGGTGCATTTAGGTCTGGGTTTCAACCATTCCACGCTCCCTATCCCTGTTTACTGCAAGATTTTGCTAGGAAGAGCTAAAACCTGGAAGACTCTCCATCAGGAGAAAGAAATAGAGCAGCATGAACTTAAGGGAGCCTGAAGAGAGTTCTCACAAGCAAAAAGATCCAAATACCAGTAATTCCAGATCCCATCTGCTACCCAAAAGGGGTGATCCCTCCCCTCCCCCTGAGATGTTTACAACGGGGAAACCCTCTCATCCTCCCCAGCTCAGCAGTCACCCAGGTGCTTTGAGTCTTCTCCAATCTGCTCCACCTACACTTGCATGTGCAAAACAAACCCCAGGGCAGCTGTGTTTTCCCCAGCAGAGCAAAACAGCAGGCTTGGAGAGAGGAGATCTGTCTGGGAAGCAAACGTGGTGAAAAGCATCCATGATAAGTGTGCCCAAGGGCAAGATCAGCCATTCATGGGAATGGCCAAGGAGCGGGAGAAGGTATTTTGGTGCTGGAGATGATAGATGGAAACATGTTAAGATTTTCCAAGAAAGGCAGAGAGGCTGGGAGAACCTCACACTGAAGCTTTAAAAGGCAGGAGGAAGAGCAGCTCAAACAAGGCCAACAAAGTCACAAGGGATTCAACCCCTATGTTTTTTCCCTTTTTCTTCTTTGTCTGAAGGGTTCGGCCATGAAATGAAACGATTTCTGCCTGCACTGAGTGAGGAAATGCTCCTGTTTAGGTGAGATTAATTTCAGGATTGTGGCCAGACTGAGGAAATTGGTGGCAGAAATCCTTCATAGCTGGATAACAAGGTTTGCAGGTTTATGAGTAATTCTCCTGAATTATGTGCCCAGCACCTTGGGTGTGGGTGACACGTTCATTCCTCCCCTCCCTTTTTGAATGGAAAATGTCATCCAGGCACACAAACACAATATTTATTAAAAAAAGAATAAAAATAGCAACAACACAATTCATGAGGTGGAGGCAGAGATTGTATCTCGCTTGCACAATGTCCAACACAGCTGCTCTGTACAGGAATTTGCCTGGTGGGTTTTCCAGGAGTGTCCCCAAGCTGCATCACAACCACAATGTACATCATGTCCCCAAAACCTAAGGAGCCTCTGGTGTGGAAAATGGGACAGCACCAAGACAAATCAACAAAAACACTCCCCTGCACATCTCTGTTATAACAATCCTTTTGATATGGAGAGATCAATCCAGGCTTCCTCACTGCAACATTCCCATCCTCGCTGCTGAGCCACCTCGGATCCTTAAGCCTGGTCCTACAAACACTGCAGGGACCAACTGAAGTTTTAACGCTGTCAGAGCTCAGCTGCAAAGAAACTGGAGAGGAGGAAGAGCAGCCTTTTTGTGAAGATATCTCTGCTCCATCTGGATCCATCACGTTCCATTACTCAACTGCCTTTCTGGGAATTCTCCACGCCTTTCCCCATGTCATGCCCAGGCACCAGACATGAAAATAGCTTCCGACAGCTCCTGCTGGCAGGACAATGGCTCCGTTTCTCCTGGAGGATGAATGAGCAGATGGGACCAGTGGAAGATGGCTGAGCTAGAGCTGGACAACTGGAGTCTTTCCAATCCAGTAACTACAATCCAAAAGGATGCAAAGATCCTTCAGGGTCAGAACCTTTTTCCGAGGGGTAGGAACAGGGTCAAGGAATACACAGGTTACCAACAGGCTGTACAGACTAAATTCTGTCTGCGTGGCTGGTTTTACTGTTCCCCAAATTCCTGCTTTGCCTGCTTATTCCCCAGTCAACCCAGCATGTTATCCCAGCAAAACAAGCACAATACTGAGGAGTTTTGAAATTAATACGATGGGCTGGCGAGCATCTTCCGTCAGGCAGAACTAAAATTAAAATGCACACCCGCCCTCGCCTCACTCCCTGAAATTCCTCAGGCAGAAACTTCCCCGTGTCACGTCAAGAGACTCCGACAGCTGAAGGAGCTGATGGGAAGCTGCACTTACAGCTGCTACCAGACTTCAGAGCAAGGTTCCAGCTCCACCACCATGTCTGCTCCAGCAGACCAGCCACAAGGCTGCTTCTAGAGCAGTTCCTCCATGCACAGGGGTGACATTCAATCCCTCAACACAAATGGGTGGGAGAGGAACAGAGGAATAGTAGTTGCCCGATATTTTGGAGCAGGAAAAGGCAACCATGAGTTTTTTCCCTCAGAAAACATTGCTAAAGGGCTCATGCATGTTGTGGCTTTGCCATCACCCTGACACAGGAGAAATGAGAATAGAAGCCTGGAGAAAATTGATTCAGCTTCTGTAAAAACCTCAAGGAACAGGTGGCAGCAAACACAGAGTTTGGGGACTACACCATTGTGACCTGTCACAAGGCAGAAAGAGCTTCTGAGAACCAAAGAATCATAGAATGGTTTAGGTTGAAAGGGACCTTAAAGACCATCTCATTCCATCCCCCTGCCACGGACAGGGACACCTTCCACTAGACGAGGTTGCTCAGTGTCCCATCCAACTTGGCCTTGGACACTTCCAGGGATGGGAAATCCACAACTTCTCTGAGCAACCTGTGCCAGGGTCTCACCACCCTCACAGCGAAGAATTTCTTCCTGATATCTAATCTAAACTTGCTCTCTGTCTGTTTGAAGCCATTCTCCTTGTCCTGCCACTCCATCCCTTGTCCGAAGTCCCTCTCCAGCTCTCTTGGAGCCCCTTTAGGTGCTGGAAGAGGCTCTAAAGTCTCCCTGGAGCCTTCAAGTTTCCAGGTTGGACAGCCCCAAGTCTCTCAGCCTGTCTCCAGAGCAGAGGTGCTCCAGCCCTGTGATCAACTTAGTGGCCCTCCATCTGAACCATCTGTGGAAGCATCTCCACCCTCAATGCACATCAGCTACTCACCTACAGAGAAGTTTTGGGCAAAGATGTAACTCTGCAGTACCAAACCAGAGCAAAACCCTGATATCTGAGCTACACCTGGACTTAGGATTCCGCAAGTCCAGCTGAGATGAGCAATCCTAAAAGAGGGAACACTGAGACAGACACTGACCCACAGCCCTGAAGGCACTGTGAAAACCCTGGTTAACAGTGAGGCACCAATACAACAAGCCAAGTCATTCCTGAGGTCTTGCTGCAAGCCCCAACTGATAATTTTTTTCAAATTATCTCCATCATGGATAGGGGTGACAGTTCCTTCATGGCTCATCACACTACCAGAATCACAGCAGGAACACTGACACTCTCTCAGACACCTTCTGGGAGAGCAAACACAGCTGCTTGCACTTCATGGCTGTTTTGGGGTTCAAATTGAGATGCAAACTGCTGCCAAAACAACCACCACAGAGGAGCTGTTGCTCTTCCTCTTGAAATATGAAGACATTTTCCATTTTCTTTCCTCCCCATCCCTCGATTTTACCAGATTTCCTATAGAAGGAAACAGGAATTGCACGACTCAGAGAGAGAATCATCTTCTCCCCACATGCACCCAAGTAGTTGGGTGAGACACCATCTTCTGTCCCAGGCCGCTGGTATCACACCAACCACCCCTGGCACAGCTCTGGGAAAACACAGCCAAGACAAGAAGCAGCACAACC